ATTAGGATGTGAGATGCACTTGGACAGGTATGTGCTAAAAGGCTTCTCGCCTATTGTAGAATTGCTAAAACTTAATGCCATCATTTACAGATAATCTAAGCTGGCACATGCTAGGTCTATTAAATACCACCATAAAGGTTGTAGGGAAAAGGCCTTCCATGATCAGGGAATTTGGGGAAATTCTAGGTTAAGCAGAGTTAGATGGTTTTCTTCCCTGGTAGATTCCCTGCTGATTTTCCATATGAGTACAAATGCAGAATTCATTTATGCTAGAGCATCTCTAAGAAAAGTATTTTGTGGAATGCTCTTTGGAAAATACTGTCCTACCCCCRCCAGCCCCCTCCCTACCACCAATCTTTTCATTTTCCAGATGAGAAAATCAAGGTCCATGGTAGATAAGTGGATTGCTATATTTAACTAGTGAGTGATGCTGAACATGAGGCTACTTATTGGATGCTTTTTGATGTCCTGTCTCCTGTACCATATTGTCCCACAGATTTCACCTAAGCAGAATCAGCCAAAAAAGTGTTTTGTTCACACACACACACACACACACACACACACACACACACACACACGCTATTGGTGATTGAATCACCAGGGGCACTTTACCATTGAGCTACATCTCTAGCCTGTTTTAATTTTTATTTGAGCTACCTCTCCAGCCCTTTTTAATTTTTTGAGCTACATCTCCAGCCCTTTTTAATTTTTATTTTGAGACAGGGCCTTGCTAATTTGGTGACGCTGGCCTTTAACTTATGATCTTCCTGCCTCAGCCTCCCAAGTCAATGAGATTTCAGGTATGCACCACTACATCCAGCTTGTTCCTTTATTCTGTAGGGAAGAATCTACTGCATAGCCTGCTATGGGAACTGATTACCCTGACTTTAACAGCCATCATAGACACACTGACTCCTTGGTTCATACTTTAAGTTCTGGGATGCCCATTCCTTACTAAACCCATGAGTCTTGTTTTTTTGTTTGTTTGTTTGTTTGTTTTTGTTTTTTCACAGGGTGCCTATTATGAATATGAAAAGAGGATGATCTTTGGAGATGACTCTACTAGGGTTTAAAATGCTGTTTTACACTTAGCTGTGTGTCTCTGGGTCAAGTCAGTTAGCTTCTCTGAACTTCAGTTCACAAAACACTGGATACTTCTGAGAAAGCTTGTCTGTTAAAGGCATTTAATAAATGGGACTTATTTTTATTCTTTAACAATGCCTAAAGGAGACTTAAAAGTTACTGTGTCATTCTGATGTTGATTGCTGTCCTTTCATTCATTATAGGACACAGCGAAGCTTTTTGTTGAGATTTTGATACTGGAAACTACCTCTCAGTTTCTCTTTTTTTCTCCATCTTGAGTTCTTAGATCTCTGATGACCCCTGTCAGTTTCCTCTATTTGCATAGCTTATTCCCATTCTTGTACCTTTGACACTGTTCCATATTGAACTAGTCAATTTCTTCTATCAAGATTGCTAAACAAATTGCAGAGAAGTCTCAATTTTCAGAATTTTAAGAAATCTTTATCAACTATATTTTATTTTTTCACCTGCACTATCTATTTCTGTTCCTGTTTGCTGTTGCAGTGATCCTGATATACTCTGAAGCTGCAACTCTCTTGCTTTTCTGCAAGCATCTCCAAAGGTGCATGTTGGAAAATGCTTTCGTCATTCCAGAAGAAAGGATTTTACAGACTGCCATAGCTCTTTGCAGGGAAAGAATAACTTCCAAGCTGAGTGCTTCTTAAAAGAGGTACTCCCCCATCACTTATAAGACTGTACTCAGTGGTTACTGCTGGTGACACATTTTCAAATGGACCCCCCAGTGACTGCAGCTGTGATTAAAAGCAATCTGTTCGCTGCCTCACAGGGGTTTGMTGTTTAACCATGTCATGTATGTATATATACACACACTCAGACACACACATGTATATATTATGCTATAGTTGCATCATGGAAAACAAAGTGTTTTGTAAGGTGAAAAATCGAATAAGTACTTCAATGATAAACTCTGAATTTTCCAAGCTTACGTCACTGAGAGGCACTAGTAGGGAACCTAACCATGTACGAGGCACATAAAAATAATTTAAGGAAGAAAAGCTAATGATCAGTGAATATATACCATCTGCCAGTACCTGCTTTGCGTACATCAGCTGGACTGAACATCTTAAAGATTTAAGTACTTAGCAACAGCATTTTAGCTCCTCAGTGTGATTTGGGATTCAATTTTGACCCTCCTCAAATAAAGCAAGAGAATATTCCTTTTTAAATCTACCCAGATAGTCATTGACACATGAATAATCGTGTTTGGCTTATCATAGAAATGCTAGTCTCAACAGAAGTTTACCATTAACATTACCTTTAAAAATGCTCAAATGAGCAGGGCAGCCACAGAGACCAGATGTTTCAAAGGCACAAGTCACACCTCTTCCTTCAGATTAGACAGTCGTCAACCTTTTATAAAGTAAAAAGTGTGTTCAAGAATTTTAACCTGGACTCTCTGCATCATGTGACAAGCGTACTAACAAATGCCATCAGGGAAAGCAATGTTGTTCCCCTCCACCCTACAACTGAATCAGAGGAATTCAAACATGCCATCTTTCTTAAATATCTAGGAAAGAAATCTGGGGAGGTTTTAGAATTTTGTGTCTCCTTTCCCCTCTGCCTCCCCCCACCCCCGCCACCCCTCCACTCCAGCCACACCTAAGTTCCAAGCACTCCAAATCCCAGAGACCAAATCCAGTAAATGAGATGCTAATCTATCACTAGCAAATTTAGGCTGACAATACTGTGGATCGACCACATTGATGACATTGATTCCATTTCAAATATTTACAATATAGCGAGACAAGCCTAATCTATTTCCTAAAGAGTTCAAGGTAGGTATCACCATTTCAGAGGGGGAAAAACAATGGAGAAATGTTTGTGGTCGCTATCTGCAATAATCTGATGCTGACAGAGAGTAGTATTTTATTTAGTAATTAACAGTGTAAAGGGGAGAGGAGCTGTCATGTTGGTTCTTAAGCTGGGGAATGTGATGAAAGATGATATCTGCGATCTCATCCTTTCCACTTGTTTAGGATTGTCAGGATGAGAAATGTCAGCATTATGAAAGCTTGGCTCTGCTCTTGATATGATAAAACCCTTCAAAAGCCAGTCTTTCTCTCTCCCTCGTCCCCCTCCTTTCTCGCTCTCTCTCTCTCTGCACTTGCTTTTTTATTTATCCTGTTTTGTTAGATGGCAGAAATATAATTCTTTTCTTTCTTCCTATTATAAGCCACCATTTTTGTTTTATTATATGTTTCACAACCCCTAATGCCCCACTGAAAATTACCTTGTTAAATGACAGTGTTTCAAAGCCATGAATCCTTTCCACCATTCCCTCAGAGGTTTGAAACAGTCAACAGACTGTAAAGAATAAATAATAAAAAAGTATTGATTATTTTGATGACTGTGAGATTCAATTAAGTATTAATTTTGCCCTCCAGTGGACCTATCAAGGTATTCAAAAGGGAGGATTCGGCTCAGCTAAATGCGTGCTGAGTGCTTTAGCCTTAAATAGGGAGAAAATGTGTTTACCTACAGTATTTGAAGAAGAAGTGCATTGATGCACAGAGTCCAATATTTAAGTGCTGTGCAAATTAAGCCCTGGTGACAGTGACATTGTTTTCAGTGGTATGAGTATTGACTAAAGAAGTGCATTTGATGACAGCTTAAACTATTTGTATTGATTAACATTTTCATAGATTATCATGTGTCATATCAAATTCACTTTTCAGGCATGAATACATTAAAAAGAAAAAAAAAAAAAAAACAACCACAGGCATACCGCAACCAATGTAATGATGGGACCCGGGAGCAGCCGCCCCACCTGCTCCTGTGCTGGTCACCTGTTTCCTGCTCAGGAACCATTTAGGCATGAACTTGGCAATAAATAGCTCCCAGATCACAAAAAAAAAGGGGCACTTCTTGCTTTTCCTTTCCTTCTGCATCCGATATCTGTGTCAAAGCAATATTATGCATCTTAGTTTGCAAATGGATAAAAGGCTACATTTGGAAAATATTTCTGATCTTAACATGTCCTCCTAAATGAGCTGAAGATAAAGCAGATTTAAATTATTGGGGGGACAGTTTGCCTTTTTTTGAGGTGCTTTTGTTTTCTTTTTCTTTAATGCTCTGGTCGTATGATGCTCTAAGTATCCGAATTATTGAACACAGTTTGTAAGTATYTTCCCAATTCCTTTAAAAAAATGTTAATCAATTTTCGTATATTTTGTTGTGTATTGTTTGCTTTAAAATGTTCATTTGATTTGGGGTTAGCTTCAGTCCCCAATCTGGGACCAGTGAAGTCAACTTCTAAGGCTGTTTATAGAATTTACATAAGAAATATCTTTTATTCCATTGAAAGCATTTTTGAGGTCTCTTTTCTCCCTATCTCTTTTCTCTGCTCTTGGGATAGGGTTTAATTGCTTCTCCCCCAGGGAGAAGGCTTCTTAAAATAGCCTGTGGTTCCTCCATAGGGTGCTCTTTTTGAAAAGGTATGTTGCTGAAGTACAAACCCAGCACTTTCTTTTTTTTCTTACTGCATTAAAGACAGAACAAGGTGTAAAAACATTCCGCACAAAAGCACATCCCACAATTAAAGCTGTGTTGGTTAGATTGCTTTCAAAGAAGTTTTTTTTTTTTCTTTTTTTCTTTTTCTTTCTCTGTCTTCCTCTCTCTCTCCTCCGAAGCCTCCTGAATCTCTCACATGCTAGTTGAGCTTTAATAGGGTGGGGAGTAATGGAGAACTCATCGGATCTGTAATAGCTCTTCACTTGACTGCAGCCAGCAATAACAGCGGGAGCAGCCAGAGATAAGAGAGAGAGAGGAGAGAGGGAGAGTGTGTGTGTGTGGAAGAGAGAGAGAGAGAGAAGAGAGAGGGAGAGGGAGAGAGAGGACACGCACTCTAAAGCTGCCACTTTTTTTTTCCTCCCCTTCACTCTTTCCCCCCATCCTAGGATCCAATGATAGCTGGACAAGTCAGGAAGCCCTTGCTGTCAGCGCGGAGTGAAATGAATGCGGAGTTGAGAGGTGAGGACAAGGCTGCTACTTCAGACAGCGAGCTGAATGAGCCTCTGCTTGCGCCTGTGGAATCAAATGACAGCGAGGACACTCCCAGCAAGCTCTTCGGTAAGTCTGTCTAGGTATTTCATTTCAGTCCTACCATGTTGTCCGGAAGAGCAATCCAGCCCCTCACCCCCCCCCTCTTTTTTCCCCCTGTTGTTCATTCAATTTTCTCGTAAGTACTAAAGAGGAGCTTCGCATCTTGGAGGTGCTAAGCCACCGAAGCCGATTCCAGCTGCCTGCGAGGATGTCCTCCAAACTTTTACAAACAAGGAACTTATTCGCTGCTGCCCATTTTGACTTGTCAAATATTGCTGGCATTCCCCAGGCTGGAAATTATTAAAAAAAAAAAAAAAAAGAAAAAAGAAAAAGGAAAAAAAAGAGAGAAATGGTAATGATAATCAGGAAATCAGTTTCATTGTAAGAATTGGTTAACATTTATTGAATAAATATCGACTCGGTTTCGGGTTGCTTCGCAGCCTTTTGTTAAGGGGAAGGAGAGTAAAGAGTTATTATCTGTAGTCAAAAGACTAGAGAGGAAAACTGGAAAATATCGATACAAGTCTTGCTCTGCCAGGTAAACAAAAGGTGGCTACGGGAATTGCTCAAAGAAATAAACATTTTGTCATCCCAGTCAGAATGAATATCTCTTCTTTTAAAAGGGTGTTGAGGGAAGAAAATGGGTCTCTTGAATCCCTCCCCTGCCCCTCTCCCCTAGAACATTATGTTTATAGCCTCATCCTAGATGGGGAGGCAGCACACGGGACCTTTCAGGAATCTTTGTTTCATAAACAAAACAAGAACAAGCAGAGTGCCACTCCAGCAAAGACATCTGTCATTCAAACAGATGACAGTCTGTAAGCCAACTCAAGCAACTGTGATCTCTAATCAGAAAGGGGAGCGGGTTGTTGAGGCGCGTGCCTGAGTGATAGATGTTGATAGATGTCTCTGCTGGAGAAGCACTTTATGGTTCAGAGTGACATTAGGTTTTCAGAACAATTGCTCCTGAAACATTTGCTTTTAATTATTTTTCTGTGTGTCTGTGTGTGCAAGCACACAAATCTGTAGATATACTAACCATTTATATATATGTGTGTATAAATGTCATGCAGAGAACTGCTTATTCTCAAGTTAAAAAACAGTTTATGTGCCTGAACTTTCAAAGACAAACAATATCATTGCACAGACTACTTTATTAAGAGAGTTGTTAATTTCATTTAAGAAATAGACCTTATGTATTTATTGTTTTAGTTGCTTTGATAGTTGTGTGACTCTTGGCCAGTTTCCACAGAGATTCTCCCTACTTTTAAATGCTCACTCAAACATCAGAGAGGTCCTTCAAAGAAACTTTGCCTTTTCAATTTTCTGTTGATAAAACACTGATTTGTACTTAAGAATATGACAGATTCAAGTGTCAAGAAGTTTTGCAAGGTTACCTTTTCTTCAAAAGTGTTTTATCTCTGATATAAATTTTCCAAATCTGTATGTTAAGGTTTTAGCATTTTCACTCTAAAGAAGTATTCCATTATAGTGCAAGTTTTTATCTACATAGGAAGAGTTATGTTCTAAAAACACTCATTTGGGGAAGCTAATGAGAAAAGTCAGATAAAACTATAAAATTGAAGAAAGCAAAACCATGCTCTAGCTCTTCTGATGATGAGTATTCTAAGTAAGCACTTTGACTTTTAGAAGGTAATCAATTCTGAGTTCAACATAGCTGTAGATACTAAGTTATTTGTACATTAACTTTGCATGTGTTTTTAAAAAATAAATACATGTGTAGATTTGGGTTTATAATCCCAACTTGTTTTCTTTCAAGTAAACCAATGGAGCAATGATTAGTCTGGCTTCTCAACATTAATTTAGATATTCCAGTGTTGAAAATTGTTAACAGATTTTTAAAAAAAATTCTACTTCTTGCTGATTTGCATGTGTAGAGAAATAAGCTTTGAAAAAAAATGCCAGAGGGTCAAAGAGATTTGAATTAAAACTTTACTAAAAATACGTGTTGAGTGAAATCTTTATGGTAAGCCATATGCTAAGGAGGTATAGTTTAATTTAAAAATCATAGCGAGTTTTGGAAGGCACCCACCTTTATTTTGAGAGTCTCAACTTGTAAATTTGTGAGAAAGAACCCAGCAAAATCTACATCCTATATCTTAATTTCTGTTTGTATTTACTTGATTGTCTTTGGTCTCTAGACTACTTTTCAAATACAATGTGAATCTTTCCCAGTTAGGTAAAGAAGAAATCAGTAGATTAACAGTTGAAACACTTGAGAAAAAAATTGAAGATAGCATTAGACAGAAAGAAAGCACCTCAATGTTTTTGTAAGTTTTCCTTAGCTATGGGGTCTATTGTGCTCTTACTTTTAAATATTCCTAGAACTTAGCCTTGGAATTCTAGTTTATGTAACTGACTAAAACTTTCTAGAATAATTCTCAGAATTTTTAGCAACTTTGATGACACAATTTAAGGGACTCTTATTTTATTTGATGTGCATTTGTTCAGGGCTTTGTATTTTGCTTTTAGATGTAGTTCTGATTATGTTCTTTATTTGATAATGAAGAAGTGCATTCTTCCGGAATAGTTGAGAGCATCCATGTTTTTCTCTAAGCAATGATTTTTTCTAATGTGCACTCTCTCTCGAACTATCATTCTTATAGATTATACATTGTAGTATTGAAAACTATGTTCCTCTGATGAAAAGGGCAGATTAAGGCAAATAATGTGCACATTGACATGTTTAATATCACGAAGAGACATCACCCAACAACAGGGGACAAGAAGAGCTCAATTTTCCTACTATTCTTGAAATTTCAGTATAAGTGGGTTTCTTTATAGCCTATTCCCTCATCTGTATCTTGTTGAAATTAATAGTCCAGAGGATGAGCCTGTTTCTCTCACAGTATGGCACCTTCAGCCCAAAACTGCAGGAGAAAGGCTAATACTGATGCCCTCTATGGATAAACAAAGGAAATTCCAGGAACCATTGGGCTTTTTATGCCTTTCCTTAAATTGCACCTCTGCACTTAACAGCATCCAAAGGGAAACATACGGTGCAGAACGTTTCAGTGCTCTGAGCCGCTCAGCATACCAGAAGGAGAAACAAGAAGCCATATGCCAGCCTAAGTAGAAAGTTCAGAAAAGGGCCCTTGTGCTTTATAAAGTAATTACATCAGAGGAACCGTTTTGCTTAACTTGAACAGCCATGGAAACTAAAGTACACTTAGGAGAGATGAATCCACATTTCATTGAGGAACATGTGGTGAGGTCGTTCGCTGTGATATCATTAAGTGGTGCATTATTTATTCTTGTAAAGCGTGTAGAATAACCATCTCCATTTGCAGTTCATGATTGTATTATGCTAAGCTCTGAGCCACAGGAAGCAGTACAGGGGAGCACAGGCTTGTATGTCTAGGCATTATCAGAGAATCTGGCGTTATGTCTCATGATGCTCTAGCTGTGTGATCAAGTGAGTGATACCACATAGGGCCAGTCGTTGAATATGTGACTAGTGATGTACATATTGGAAACGATTCTCAAAACTGGCCTTTTACAAACAATCTCCAAAGGAAGAGGTTGTTGTGTTTCTCTAGTGACATTTATAGCACTTGTGTCAATGTGGTGCTTCGTTTTTAGTTATGCCCATCAAGAATTCAGTGTTCCACATTCAGTCAAGTTGGATGCTAAAATTCAAATGGTAGCATCAACAACTTGGTCAGGAAAATGGCTGCAGAAAAGATAAAAGTAATATATATCCCCAGAAAAATATCTGTACTAAAGTTTCCCCATGTACTCCCAGCCAAAGAAGTGAGACCTCATAAAACATGCCCTAAATACTTCCCCCATATATATTTGAGATTTGAAAGATGATTTATTAACCGTGTTTCTCCTGGGAAAATTTTTTTATTATTTAAAGTTAAATCTCATGATTGCTTTCCTTCAAGTTCCGACTACCTTGGGTGGCTGTGTTAGTCTCGGTGGCTTGTTCTCAGTTGTACTGCACTGTACCTGAATTGGGCACACAGCTCAGAAACTTGAGCTGAGATGGAAACACAACATTTATAAACATTGTACCTGAAATAAAAAATGTGTGATTGGTTTTCTCCTATGATATTGTGTTTTTCTAGGTTAAAAGAAATTGCATGCAATGATACTTGTGAGAGTGGGTATTTTCAATGCCATTTATCTTCGAACTATTAGAAAAGGATTGAAAGTTGGGCCAGTGATTCCTCCATGCTGGGAAATACACTATCTATTGTGTTTTTCTTTTCCTTTAGGTGATCTTTCTCACGGAAACATGCATTATAAGATTTTTTTTTTCAAATTGCCATCCACTTTGACTTGATTAGAATTTATGGCAGTGGAGTCGTTTTCAATGACAAAAGGATAAAGGACTAAATTGTCTGTCACCCCTTGAGACAGTGGTCTCCGCAGGTCAGCGTGGAGGTCATTGCAGGGCATTATGGGGACTGCATTTCGGGGTGGTGCTGCTCTTGCCTGTGCGTGAGGGGAGGCCTTCATTATGGGATCACTGTCTTCATTACTGTATTTAAACATCTCAAGGTTTCAATACCTTGAGTATTCATAATATGAATTATGTTGGAGCCAGTAATCAGTACGTAGGACTCAAGCCCAAGAGGGATTTAGCTGGGAAATGATGAGGAATATTCTCTAGAGAAATATATTTATTTAAAGACTGGACCACGCTTCTATATTTTTAAAAGTTTGGATATTATATTTATTGAAAATTCATACTCTTTTTTCATGGGAGAAAGTGTGTTTTACTAGGAAAATATTAAAACAGCATATTTTTGAGTCGACTAAATAATTTGGATAATAGAGTCTATGCAAAAAAMCAGTTATTTCAAAGAAATCAGTAGAAACTCGTGTTTGTGAAAATAAGTAGGGTGCATGATAAGGTATTTTTCAAAAAACAATTATAGTTTAATAGTCARACAGGCCCTTTTTGTGCTGCTTTGACTACATGAGGGGGAAAATACATATTTAGATGCATTTCTTACATTTAAGAAAATCTAAAGCACTGAGATACCTCTTCAAAA